TTTATTTTAACATTTTTTTAATAATAATGATGTTTTATGGGTACCCCCATTGAATTTTTTTGGGTTTTTGGAGGACCTATAAAAACTATTTCATAATAACAAATAATATCGTTGTCTATGAGCAGTTAATTACATAATTTGATAATCCCTGGGTTGATATTGAATGCTGAATTTCCACTAGGCATCAAATGACAAAATTTTTAATGACAATGTTACAATCGTATGGCCTTATTCATAAAAAATAAAGTAGGTTTAAAAAGTTTTATAAAATGACATTTTCATACATTTTTCAATTTATAAAGCTAATTTATTTTTTATGAATAAGGCTATTAAAAAATAGTCACTAAGCCTGTTTCCACATGGCATTTTTTGTAATTTGAATACCTAGTGGAAATCGGAATAAGTTTAAAAAATTTATTTCTTGCTTGTTAGTTCATTTGTATTATATTTTTTTGAAGTTGATTCTTTCTTAAAAAAAAACTATGTCGTTCAAAGGTACAGTAATTTTTGTTTGAAAATTAAATTGAATGTTTAGCACATATAATGCTTTTTGAATTTTTTTCTTAAGTATATGAGAAGTTTTATATATTATCGAAATTTTAAAAACTGACTTCTGTTTCGTTGCTCAATAAGTTATCTAACCGCTGTAAAAAAAATCACAAGATTCGAATGAATGATTGCTAAAATATAGCAAAAAGTGTAGAAGCCTGCATAAAAATTTGTTTGCAAATAACTCGTCAATAAATTGAAATTAACGAAAAAGCTTTCGCGGCAATATTTCACACCATGTTAACTTTTAAAATCGGCTAATGACATACATATAAAAAATAGTGGTGAGAGTATTAAAACTCCGACTTTACTTTCTTAGGACCACCCTATTGTACATAGTATTTAGCAGAGCTGCAACTTTATGATTACTATTACATTTTTATTATTTAGGATTACGAGATTACTTTAATTGTAACCACGATTATTTTCAGCATTACGATTACTGTAATTGTAATTATAACATGCTTGATTGAGAATACTTTAATTGTTATCCTTAACAATTACCACTTCTATAATGGTAATCCTGCTTTTTATAATTATAATTACAGTAATCGTAACCCCACAAATTTTAAGATTACAATTACCGTAATTGTAATCATGAAAATTAGGATTACGATTACAGTATTCGTAAACGTTAAATTTGAAGGATTCGATTAGAGTAATCGCAGTCATGCAATTGATGACTACGATTACAGTAATCGAGTATTGCCAATAAAGTTTGATTTTCATTAACTGTATTACTTCAACTTTAAATCAAGTATTGCAATTGTAATCTAAAAAATTATAGGATTACAATTACAGTATTTCATGATTACGATTACAGTAATCTTAGTCCTTCAATTTTCAAGATTACAATTATTGTAATCTATGGTAACATTTATGATTACAAATAGAACAATCGTAAAGATTACAATTAAGCAATCGCAATTAAAATATAATCGTTATCATGAGTTGCACAGCTCTAGTATTTAGTTAGCCAAAGAATTTTTTTAACCTCTGCAATAACGACACAACTCAAAATTTCATGTATGTACATATGTATATATTTCAGTAGATCCAGCTAAAGTTTTTGCGTTTCATAATTTAGCAATAACACGTCTTGGAACGTAATTATTGTGGATTATTTACAGTTATTGTGCAGGGAAAATTTGTAAGTTATCAATTTATGAGTGCTTTATGAAGATTTAGTAAGGATTTCACTGAAAAAACGGACGAAATAAGTATCATTAACAGGCCTATTCTGTTTTTTGCCGAAGATTTTGATACCGGAAAGGTTTGTTTCTTAAAAATAATACCACTTCTTGTAACCGCAGTTTAGTACATAGTAAGTGTTGCTTACTTCGATTTTCTGATACATAAATGACACAATTCCGCCCCGTCGGATTGGTAACAGTAAAAGCATAAAATATGAATATTTATCTCAACTGCAGTCGCTATATATGTACATATGTAACTCAAAAACATGAAATTTTTAATTGCGCCGGTATTGCAGAGTTGCATCGATATGTATGCTTATGTACATTTCTTATACACATATATGCAAATAAATATATACTAAAGATGTTACAGTTCTTATTAAAATAGACTTGAAAGGAAACAATACATATCGGCATATTATTATGGAAAAAAATACTGTATATTCATACATATGAATGAACACAAAAAAATGTTGAATAAAGAATGTTAATAAAGCAAATGAATAGCTTACAAATTTATAGCATGGAATTATTGAATTGGAATTAGACAGTTGTGTATATGTATGTATTTACATAGCATACCTACTTACTAATAGATTGTTGTACTGCATAGCTGAAGAGACTATTTAAACTGTTTAGATGTTTTTAACAACAAAGATGTATTTAAAGAAAAATTTAAAAAAAAAAATATCAGTTAAGGCCTACAATGCCAATACAATACGAGTATATGAAATATATGAAATGTTTTGCTTAAGTTTTGAAAAGTTATAAATTTTACATACATATGCACTTGCATATATGTACATACATATGTATGTAGATAAGCACTGACGCATATGTAGATTTAAAACCTAACTAAATCGAATACATATCACTTATATATATATACTTATACATATATATGTATACATATTGATGTAGAAGCAAATAGAAGCTTATAAGTCTACTTATAAATACTAATATACATATTTACAAAAATTTAGATGTACATACATACATACATCTTGTGCAGAGAAAAAATATGTATACCTATTACAGATTTGTTATTGTGTTCACTGTTGCTAAACTAATTATCTTCATATAAATATGTATCTGTTTGAAAAATAAGAATGTTATTAAATTGTTAAAGATAATTATCGAAAAGAAAATTTCTCTATATCCTATTACTTATTATTATATAGCCCCTAAATATGAATTTAAACATTACGTGATGAGTATTTAGTCCCTAGTCTGTACATGTATACGTACCTTAAATCTGTTGGCTAATTGCTCTTGTATTTTCTTGTTAATATTTTAAGAGTCTGTTTATAAAGTTCTCGAATCTTAGTTTATTTAAGTTTCCTGTTATGCTTAAATATTGAATTTGACCTTTTAACCACATACATATGTGTTATGCGTATCCTGAATAAATTCATGTTGTATATAAACAAAAAAAAAAAAAACACCAAAACATATAGTTTTTTTCATTTAAAATTAGGATTTCTTCAGCAAGTTGGAGAGATAAGCAAATTAATTAAAGTCAACGTACTTAGTACAGTTGTGTCTGGTTAGGATGTTATTTTGACTGTCATTTCTCTACTGTGCCAACTGACGCCAATTGGAAATGCTGAGTGAATACAAGTCCTTCTACACCTGGTCTTTACTGTTGGGGACTAAAATCGAAACTTGAAACGAGATGTGCCACATATTCTAACCCACGGCCCGCTGATCTGGTGGCCGGCCATAAATAAACACTATAATGTAAACAAACTAGCTTACAACAATCAGTGGGGGCAGGAATAACGGGCCTGCCCGACAGAAGCATTAAAATCAATCTTATATTTCATCCCAGCGATGGTAGCCGATGTGGTGTAGTGAGAAGCAGTGCGCGCTTCCACTCCGTAGGGCCTGGGTTCAAGTCCTGCTCAAAGCAACATCGCAAATCGATGTAGTTGCTCGGCAGGCAATGGTAAACCTCCGAGTGTATTTCTGCCATGTAAAACAGCTCCTCATAAAAATACAATCGCCGTTCGGAGTCTCTCCCCTTTGTATGACAACATCATGATTTAATAGTTTAAAGTTTGTCATTTTGATTCCAGAACTCGTGCACCCTACATCCATTTGGCGACTTTAATTAATTTCAGTACGTTAAATATTGCGCTTGCAGAGTGTCTTCATCCTCATCCTTGCGAGAGCTGGACACTCGCACAGGGAGTGTTCGACTGTCTTTTTCAGCTAAGCTCATCGCAACTTGACCGAACCTTTTGATAGGCAATCCAATTTTTTCGGCATGTACTCCAACGGGCCAGTGCCCTGTGCATACTGCAGTAAGTTTGTAGGTATTTTCTTTGCTCATTCCTAAGAGAACTTTGGATTTAAGTGGGTCGTAGGACACCCTATTCGTTCCTGTACGGTTCCACATCTGCTTGGTCTTCGAGTGATCAACTTCGGTAATTGTTGCTTTTATCTTTCTGAGTGAGGCGCCCATGTCTACCGCGTGCGACACATTCAGTACGGTTCTTGTCCGCTGTCACGTTAATATAAATATTCTTATGCCCCAGGACCCATATTTGGGTAATTTCGTATTGATCAGATATAGTATAAACCAGTTCTATCCTACAGTCTTCTACTAGTTGATATCTAACGGAGGTAGGAGAGAGTGCGTCAACGGTAATTTTTTTTTTGTCAAGGGGATTTTTTTTTTTTTCAAAGATTTCGCACTAAATTTAAATGGTTGTAAATCATAAAAAATAAAAGTATGAAAAACCCGCATGCGTTTATTGTAAAATATACTCAAACATGCAAAATTTATTTTTGCAAAATATGCAAAATCATGCATTTATTGCAAAATATGCACTAACTCTTGAATGCCATTTTAAAGGAAATTTCATTATTCGTAAAGATAACTTAACCATTTCTATTTGAAGATGTCCAATAAAAACATGCATTTGCTTGAGATTCCGTGCCCTATTTTTGACTATTATCGAAAATTAGCCAAAGTATCCACGAATTAATGAATTCACATCACACTAGTGAGGTTGAATCATTACATTATCAAATGCACTTCCTTTAAAATAAAAATAAAAAAATAATGAAATTTATCCACCGCTTATTTCAGTGCAGATTAGCCCTCTGGCCAACTGACCGCTAATTAATTAAAATTTTATCTGATATGCACACAATTATAAATATACAGACACGCATTTGCATATACATGTCGTCGTTTAATATATGTATATAAAGTATATAAATATATATGTGCATATACACTTCTCGGAATAGATAAAACTTTGGGTATAAAAAGTCAAGCGCCAACTTTCCGGTGATATACTTCACCAATCTCAGGAAAGTGAATATCAGTTAAAGACATCACTGCGCCGCGCCGAAAGCATACAAAATGAAAGGTAATTTTAAATAACTTAAAAAGCCAGTAGAAATAAGCATTATTTAATAATTAATAATAATTATGTACAAATGTTTCTCCTCCGTTAGTAATCCAGCTTCTCCTTAGCATAATGCTGGCACTCATGCTTGTGGCTCCTACCGTTTTCGCTCAAGTGTACACTGTACCAACAGCAGCTCCAACTCCGCCAACAATTAATCCAACAACCGCAGGCGCAGCAACCGATGATGGCCCACCATCTGCGACCTCAACACCAAGTCCAGCTTCAGTTAGCACCCAATACCCTTTATATGGTACTACTTCTTGATCCAACCCAACTGTTTATAAATACACACTTACATTTGCCGGGATCTGTGAGTCTGTTCCTTTGAACTTCGCACTAAAACCTGTGGAACTGTCAAACTACAATATCTACTATAACCATTTGAAAATTAAATAAATACGAGCTTTAACAGACAAGTAATTTTTAAGCAAAAAACAGAACCGAGCACCAAATTTTTATGGGACCACCTGTGAGGTACCACAACCTTCTCCTTTTTTTAAGTCGGTTAATAAAATATATACTTGTTTTGGAACTTTGTTGAAAATACTGTCAGTTAATTACAGAATTGGTGGCCGCTGTGATGTAGTGGTTAGAAGTGCGCCCTACCATTCCGCAGGGCCTGCGATCGAGCCCAGTTTTCGACTAACTACCATCTAAAACCAAAGAAAATATAAAGTTTTCTCTAATAGCGGTATAATACTTAGTAGGCAATGGCAAACCTCTGAGCGTATTTCTGCCATGAAAAAAGTTTCGGAGTCGACGTAAAACTGGCGGTCCCTCCTCTTTAAGAAACAAAGCCCATCTTAGTTTTGCGAACCCACGCGTCCTATTAGCAACAAACAAAAAATTCTAAACGAGGATCTGATCCCGTCTGAGCTTACCTTCCAGAATTTCCAGCATGTTTTGCCGGCAGTAGCTCAATGTCTATTCTGCAAAAGCTCCACCAGAGTGCTTCCTGCGCTGTAGCATGTGTTGTTATTGTCTCTACCAATGGGTGGATGTCATACCGTTATTTAGATCCAGCTCTGTACACCACGTCTCGAATTCGTCCTAACCACTTTACATTTGGCATACCAAACCCGATTATCACATCATCAACATCCACTAACGGCCCTGCCTAGATAAGCTAAAATGATTTTCGTCAAACTCGCGTAAATGAAGACCCAAGAACGTGCTGAGTCGGGCCAATGGGAGGAGGAGGGTCCTGGTTGAATAATTTCAAAGAGACACATGAAGTGGTGATTGGTGGCATGTGGGGAGCCTTTATATACAGCACATAGTGAGTTAGGTGCGTTAAAGTCGAGTCTAGAGAAAAAGGAGTTTCATCAACTGCCACAGTGTCCAGACCGTAATTGTATCAGTGTAACGACTTTTTCTCAAGGTAGCCCCTTTCTCCGCGAAGAGTGATGGTTTAAACTCCGGTGACGGCATTCAAATGACGAGAGTTGCTGAACGTCGTGATAGTCGCTAGACGAATGTTGGTAATTACCTGTTTGTACGGTCGAGTTGTTACTGTATGTAGTCCAGACTCTAGTCACTGAATTCATTTAGATGCCTTCTGCTGCTTCTTCCAACAAGTGCCTAGTCGGAGCAAGTTTATTAATCGATATAATTATGGGTCACAGTGGGTCAAAATTCTGTGATGAGCTCTGTCTAGGACCTAGAACTGCTGGTTAGCCGGGGAATCGGAATAGTTTAAAAGTTGTGTAGGGTTAGAAGGGATTCGCAGATATCACGGTGTGCTAGAGAACACCAGCGCATTGCCCGAGATTTTGACCGTTATGGGCCAACCTCGAACAGCAAGAGGCCAAAAAGCGTGTTGCCTACTCCATATTCCACTTGAGACCAAAACAGGCCCTTAAGCGCCTACATCCTTTAAATATATTGGAACTTCGAGGTTGGACTCGATGTCAAAAAGATCCAGAACGGTGTGGATATTTTCTATTGGTCGAGGAACGAACAAAGATTGAAAGAGAACGCCCATTTAACAGTGTTGCGATCGTTGGTTGGTTAAAACCGTCCTCGCCTCTCATCATGTCTGTACGTAGAATCAGCTGTCATGGGAATGTCGGAGATTGATTCGCTTGGTAAGAGTCTGCAGATAATGTGGGTGACGTTTACACTTCTTAATCAAACAAATTCCCTGTCCAGCTCTTGAGTTAGAATATCGAAGCTTTTTCGATTCAGTGACCGTTGCGACTCATCTTCGACAACATGCTATGTTGTTGTTATTGTAGTAGCGTTACATCAACTCGGAAAATTGTCAAGAGTTGTCATCGTGGCGTTCGAGAATCGTTTCAACAGGGTTGGAGGGTTAGATGAGTTTTATAAGTTTGAGTGGACGTTTGAATAAGTTGTTTGCGTAGTTCAGAACTTCGGTGCCGATTCTAACAACTGATATTATTGGAGATACTATCAGTGCATTCATAGGTGTTGCCAATTCCCTATGAATGTGATTTGGTGCCTATTGATAGCCATTCGGATTCAAAAGTATTTATTTAGTTGTATCATTGATCGAAACTCGTAGTTGAATTTACGAACATACGGAGTATACATCTTTTAGATAACGGTAAATGAATCGTTTTAAAATTCTCAGTTCTATTAATGAACACACTTCAAAATATGCTTAAATTGCATCTCTCGATAGTCGATTCTACCTTTCCAGATTAACCACGGAAATGACAACTAGTGGATTTCCCTCATTTTTAGCTGTACTGCTTAATGTTATCCATTTAAGACCAGTGCTCAAGAACCTCGTGGTCGTGAACCGCTCAAAAATGTTATAAACAATTAATGTTATAAAAAATAAATGCTACAAATACAAAATAAACAACTTAAACGTTTGTTTGCCGCATTTTCATACAACTTTTACAGATATATATATTTATATTTGGGTTATGCTGCACATTTAATGTGCAATTTAGACACATACAATTACATATTTTATACTACCAAGTCCTTAACATTAACATAGTCAAAAATACAGACAAAAGTATGTAATTCTATGAATTTTAAGGCGGATTCTAAGTCACTGTCAACACTTTTACCTAAATACTAAAATAAATATACATATAAGTATACACATCGTTTGTGTACATTTAAAATACATGGAAGCATTTTTAACTTGATGAGCAAAATATTTTACTACGTTTATAATACAATATATTTATTTGAATTCATGTTCAAATGCATTTAATGCACTAACAAACAAGGACACTTTTCGCTGCACTTTCAGCGACGCGTTATCTTAAATTCATGTTACGACGAAATGAACGTCGCACCTGAGCTTGCGTGTAATCGCCGCAATTCTGTTCGTCACCATGACCATACTGTAAAATTTCGATTTAAATTGTTATAAGCTAATTAACGCGTTATCAATAACACAAGTTTACAAAAAAAAAAAAAGGATTTTTTTTCTCTACTTGTCCTTCAACTGACCTCGAACCTGACGTGATGGAGGCTAACAGACCTCGGATTCGCTTTCAGGGTGTCGAATAACATAGGGATGTTGTTGTTGTAGCGGCTACAACAACCCCGCCCAGATCGGTTGGTATCTCAGTCGTTGTCGTCAAGTTCCACTAACGGCAACCCTAGGAAGCGTGCAGCTTCTGTGGGATCTGTCCACAGG